GCAGTCATCAACTATATAAAATTTACCATAAAGGTCAACACAACAAACTATTGTTCTATTGCCTGCATGTTACATGAAGTAACTCCTGTTATAAATACTGGAGTGGAGTACATATGTACACTCCTCCAAATGCCAAGTCAAAGCTAATATAAAATAATGCAGTTAAACAACAAATTACAGGACTGTATAGCGCACGTTTTGAACCATGTTGTATGAATTTTTGCCAAGAAAGTGTATCCATTTTACCACTGACCTCTCAACCTGAAGTCATATAAACAACGCACCATGGCAGGTACATTTTACTTGTCATTTTCTGCCGTTAAAGTAAGAAATGGTTAAGTTATAGGTTTAGGGTCAGGGGGTCATTCGTTGCAGCTCCATGGCGTGCAACAGAAGCTAAATGCAAAAACTATGTTGTGATAACACGCAAAGTGACTTCCTGGTTGTCATGATCGCAGGCTGTTGATTTAAATGCTGGTTACTGCTTAACAGCCTACTTTGGAATCTATTAAACATCCTCATTAGCTTTTGTTGTTATTGTTTCAAAATATACTAACGTTAAGTATTTGGGAACTTCTGATTTTGCCGCCCCCTAGTGGCACCAATCATCTCCAAATCAGAATTTACATAATAGATTATTTAAAGTCTTTTCTGTGACTTAATGCCTTGATATTAATGGCATTGCGTCACTTTTTATCATCATCTCATCACAGACCAAAATAGCTGAGTCACCGCTCATAAATCGAACCTTTTTATTGCCCTGATAATCCCTCTAATGCCCCCATCACATTCCTGACAGCGGTGCTGGATGTGACTCTGCGGTGGGGATGTTTGCGTTCCTCCTCCTCCTCCTCCAGTTGTGTTCGGGGGAGGGCTCGGCCGGTGGGACTGGCCTCATGACGCGCCTCTGTTGACAGTCGTAAAGCCTCCACCACACACACACACACCCACACACACTCTCACACTCTCCCGCCGAGCTGTCACCGCACCGCGCTGCTCCGTCTCCGCGTACTTTACGCACCGCGTCGCCTTCTGCGTCCAGCTGTGCGCACATCTGAGCTCCGACCAGCGCCGAGGCTGAACTCTTTAAGGAGGAACACAGAGAGGAATATGGCTTCTGAAACGACGCAGATTATGAACCTGTCGGAGGAACAGGTCAAACTGCTGGAGGAGAATTTTACCAAAGTCACCAGAAATCCGGACGAGACGACGCTCATGTTGATCGCAGCGGAGTGCGGACTGTCAGAGGAGGAAACAACAGTGAGTAATGTTTCAGTCCTCCTCTCGCTGCCTGTGTGTGATCAGGACTTTGTAACACTAAGTTTACCTGCTGTTTACCCTGTAGCAGGTGTCAAGGCTGAAATAGGTTTAAAAATTAGAATGTAGAGTTTGTTTTAATGTGTCTAAATATAAAACTAACCTTCCTCTTCATGTAGATCCTGTGGTACAGAGACTGATAATGACAAGAAGATGACTGTGATTTATCCTTTAATTCTACATCTCTTTTCATGTATACAGCAGTACTAGTTTTCAAGCCTCTTGTTTGCAGACTTTGCACTTTAACACACTTAGAAAAACATGCTGCCGAATGTTTTATAGAGACTGGAAGATGTAAGAAGCAGGGCTAAGGACAACACATCAAAACTGCAACAGAGCAAAATGAAATCAGAGGAGCTACAAATGTGTGTTAAAAGTCAAATTTGTACCAACATACTCAGTCTAGCCTGTTCATAAAAACATCTGTCCCTGTGTTAAATTGTTCTCATCTTGTATTTTCATCTTCTGCCAGGTCGGTTCCATAGCATGACTTATGGACCACTGAATAGTTTCATTAAGCAACACAAGCTTTTCAGAATAAGCCTTTAATAAACTGAGTTATACTCAGTTTGAACAGACATGACAGACATGACCGTCACTCAGCAAATGAGACTTTATGGTACCACAGCTTCATGGGAACACGTTTTACATGTCGTTGAGTGTTTGTCAGTGTAGCTGTCAGAGGTTCAGTCAGGTGACTTCTGAGGGAACACGCTGCTCAAAGGAGCAAAGACTTTAAATCTGTATCAGCTCCATTAACAGTGAATAGAGCGGGCTTGTGCCAGGGTTAACCTGTCCAGTACTTCTGTTAAAACGTCACAATGGAATGAAATAGTCCTCATTTGAGTGTAAACCGACACTGAGCACGGAGGCGACGTCTCGCTGATGGTCAGTGAAGCAGCTTCAGGTTGTTTTTCCTGATGAAGTCGTGCCAGAGTCCAGTTTCCTGCTGCTTTTTCAGGTTCAGGTGCAACTATTGTTGATTCTCATAAACATAGTGATCCATCAGTGCAGGCTAACGGAGAGGAGCTGTCTGTCACACAGCGAGGGCGTGACCGTGGTGTTTGTTTTTTAAGAAATTCTTTGTCGATGCAGTCGAGGATGTGGTCGCCGCTCATGTATGTGTTGCAATAATGTACATTAGGATGTGGTCTTACATGCGTTTAATATACAGGGAGAAAAAAACAAGTCAGCTGACAATAAATAATTTAATACTCTTTTGATAAACAAATCATTTGGCTTACTCAATTTAAATGATTTCCAAATGTAGCGTTTATTGTCATCATGTGATCGTAAACTACATGTCTTCTGATGATTTTACAATTTTCTTTTTACATTTTAGTGACCAAACAAACTGATTAGACGTTAACTGAGATAGTAACCACCACAGAAAATGAAAAGTAATTTACAGTTTCGATTGAAAACCGTGCTAAAAGTCAGCCTTTTTGCTTTCTTAACTGAGCTTTTTTTTTCTCAACCACATCCTCATCAGTGGAATGAGTTCACTCCCCAAACTTGAAAGTATGTTTTCTAAAAGCATGCAAGCATTAAAAGAAAACAGCAGCCATGTCTGTTTAACATCAGTTTTATGTTATTTTTCCTTGTAGGATGTGGGAAGCCCCACGTTAGACCTCATTAGGGCTGTAGCGAGCAGCTATTTTCCTCAATAAATGTCCATCAGAGTTTCCTAGAGCTCCAAGCAGTGTCTCCAAAACCCCCAAATACTTTAAATACTATATTGTTAAGACAAGGAAAAACACTGCATATTACCATTTGAGAACCTTAAACAAGAAAATATTTGAATTCTGTCCTTAAAAGTGAACACGACATAAGTAAATGAGCAGATGATCTAATAGCCACAGCCAGCCAGCCATCGGTAAACACAGTAACTGAATAGCTCAAGCTTATTGTTTTAGTCATAAATTTAAATAGAAAGCCAGACTTTTATTTATAGAAAACGTCACTTTATTACTTTGCTATTTAGTCTCCATCACCCGTCTCTCCCACACGTGAACACTCCCACCACCTCTTTATCTGAGGAATGTCTTTGGCCTACTGTACAGCCTGTGATCTGTCACATCTGCAGCCAGATGTGAAGCCTCAGAGCACCGATACCGACGCAAAGTGCACTCGAGTTATGCAGGCACGTCCAGTAGCATTCCTCTCACTGACAGATCCCAGCGAACACGCTCCGAGGCTTCCAGCTGCCATCCATACCGGTGGACGTCTGAGCTTCAGAGCGAGTTTTCTGCTCGGTGTTTGGCAGACAAACGCGGCGGCTGTTTGCTTAGCTGTGCTCAGGAGGAGGAAAAGCCCTGCATGCAAATTCTGTCATTTGGGTTGACGCGGCGTCGGCTTTGTTTCACAGGCAAATGTTTTGCTGGTGTTTGTGTTGGTGAGTGGAGGGAGCTGGAAACACGCAGCTGTCACGTGCAAACATGTCACCAGTGAACACATCAGATACGGACGGCTCGCTGTGTTTCTGCTTCAACCACACGAACCAGTTCCACCAGATATCACTGAGCTGCAGTGACACAAGCACGGAAACATCTCACGCGGATTTCAGGCAGGTGTGCAAACAGGTATTTAAACAGAGAATCACAGGAAGAGTTCTCGTTCTAGAAGTGCAGCTTTAGCATGTTTTACAACTGTGTTTTCCAGAACTAACAGCCAAAAACAGCAATCAAGTGTCTGAAGGAAATATGTAAAATGTCTAAAGCGTGCTTTGCGTTCTTTTAGACACAGCTGCACTGATTTAAGAAGTCATATGCGTGGTAGATGGATGTTTCTGTAAGTCCTTTAAATGGATGCATTAAGTGAGCTGATAACACTGAGCTTTGTGATATTCCGACTAAAAAGAACCACAAAGCCTTTTCCCCCACACACCTCCAGAGATATCTATAAAACTGTTGACAGCACACCTCCAAGTGCCAACGAGGTCACGTTTTCCTTTCTCCCTTATGATTTTTTAACCTTCTGAACCCCAAAAGGCAAATTATCTTTGAACAATTTACAAAAATGACTGAAAAAACATAAAGAATCATCAGAAAATCAATGTATTCTGCGCATTTCTGTCTCTCTTTCTTTCTTTTATTTTTTTAAATAGTCAAAAACTAAAACTTTCCCCAAGAAACTGGAAAAAAAAAATCCTGTGACTTTTCAGCTGAACTACAGGCTGTGTTTACACAGAGCAGAAAGGAGAAGACAGGTATGGAAACAAATCACGTGATGTAGTAAAATATCTGGAGCATGTGGAGCTGCCACTTTCCCAGTATTTATAACATCTGTAGGCACTTGAAAAAATGCTGAACATGTTGATTATCGATATAGTTTTTTGTGTAAAACAAATAATCAATATTTTTTTGTAAAACTTTCCCAACGGTCTCAGAGCAGAGCAGTGTGTACCTGCAAATATTCATATGACATCTGAAAATATATAAACTGATGATCTAAGGGGCTGCAAGGTAGCTCTGTGGTTAGCACTGTTGCCTCGCAGCAAGAAGGTTGCTGGTTCGCATCCCGGTGAGGACACCCGGGATCTTTTCGCGTGGAGTCTCCATGTTCTCCTCGTGCAGCGTGGGTTCTCTCCGGGTTCTCCGGCTTCCTCCCACACAGTCCAAAAACATGTTGAGGTTAATTGGTGATTCTAAATGGTCCGTAGGTGTGAATGTGAGTGTGCTTGGTTGTCTGTCTCTAAGTGTAGCCCTGTGATAGACTGGTGACCTGTCCAGGGTGTCTCCTGCCTTCACCCTGAGTCAGCTGGGATAGACTCCAGCACCCCACGACCCTAGTGAGGATTAAGCGGTGGATAGATAATGGATGGATGGAACACTGACAAGTACTGTTTTTAGATGATCTGCCAGGTTGGATGTTGAACCTCCATATGCAAACTGCACTTTGCAACGCTAACACTTTTTGGCCACCGGTTTAAACAAAATGCAAGTGTAAAAGCAGCAACCATGCTAACACAAGTGTTTTAGTTTTGCAGCCTAGAGAACGCAGTAATGTCAGTATTGCACTTTCATTTGTATTGTAAAGGTAACTAAACAATCAAGATATCCTGACTGTAAGTCCCAGGTATAAATCTATCTTTAAATAATCTCCCTGACAAGCACAGTTCTTCGTTTGTAGACTTCCAGGGAATAAAATTCCTCCTGAAGGAATGAAAGCTTGCAAATTGGAAGGATTATTGGTAGATGTGACCATTCATGTAAAATGTCTGTAAAATGATCCCCTTTTGTAAAAGATGGAGGACAAATTCCAGTCCTAAGTCTGCCTGAAAGTGTTTTTTAAAGATCACAGGAGGCTAACCAGCTGAGGCTTTGACAGTCAGAGTTAGCCAAACCAAGTGGGTTATCTTCGGTCTGGTAGTCGTGTGATTTATGGCCTGGGTTTTGTTCTGGCAACAGATCTTCATGCATCCATCAGGACCTGGTGGAAAAAGGGAATTTTATACAAGAAAATATTGAACTTTGAAAGATTTGCTAACCGCTACAAACTATTATGACTGCCAAGCTTCATCTTTAGCCAGTCATGTCCTCACTGAGGTTCATAATCCAGCCGATTCTGAGTTTCCATTCGCTGTATGCAACGGTGGGAGAAGCCGGGCTTGACCTGACAGGGAAGCCCAGTCCAGGCGGGGTGAGGTAAAGGTCTGGCTTCTCATCAAAAGACCTGACAAAATCTCCAGCTGATAGGTTTTTTTTTTCTGGTTTTCTTTTTGGTCCTGCCGCCCATCCTGTCAAGTGTTTTGTATTCGTTAACAAAGAACTCATTGGAGAAGGTTTGGCTGAAGGAAACCACCCCGGCTACCACTCCTCGTTTCACATTAACAACATTTACAACGTGCTCCGGCCTCTGTGGCGGCATGTTTGAGCTCCTTCCACAGACCATTTTATTTGCTTTGTTGCGTCAGAGTCAAGTTTGAAAAGCCTCCTTATGCAATGAATGTAGTGCTAGTCAACAGGAAAAAATAACAAAAACACCATTGTATAGGTCAGCAGGATTATAAATCAGTCCATTATTGTTTAGAAATGGCAGGCATGAACTGCTTTTATAAGGGATTCAAAGGCCTTTTGTACCTGTAAAAAGGACAGTGCCAACAAAAAAAACCCTTCCATTCAAAACCATGAAGAGAAAATTGCAATTCTACAGATGGGATGTTTCGTTGAGAACAGCCAAGTTCAGCGAGTAGTTCTTGAATTGATCTAGTCTGTGCATTTTTACAGAGCAAACACAGACAGCTCCAAATGGAAATCTCATGTGTTTTCATTACAAAATGTTGAAAGCGACCCTCCTGCCAGGCGCACGGCTCAAACATTCGGCCTCAGTCTTGTGTCAGAGGGCTGAATCCCTCCCTTTCCCCTTGGCGTTATCGAGGTTACGTCAGTGCTGTTGTGAGTCCCTTGACAACATGAACCGCAAAACAGCAATGCGACCGGTCACGGGTGTGCGTAGAGGCAGTCCACACAGTCATCATCTGCTCGGAGTTTTAGTGGAGCAGTTGTTGGCTGAACGGTCGGAGTGTAAAAAGCTTGTGCAGGGAAACCGGTCCCGGAGACACAGGCCCAGTCACTGCCTGCATTCTCCTAAAATTAGATGGAAACATTCGTTTTCTGTGGTTTTCCTGATAAAACTCAGCCTCAGGGTCACTGCTGTGGCTCTGTGAGTCAGCAGCCATATTTACATGCAGCAGAAAATGTGACTACAGTGTGACTGTGAAGGTCGTGAGAGTCACACAGGGACGGTTTTCATTTAATCAGCTAATCATGTTTACATTATAGTTTATATTTCTGTATTGATGATCTGCACTCTAGACACAGCAGTGACTCAGTTAATTCCATGTTCAGTAGATTTTTGAAATGCCAAAAACATAACTTTAAGACGTCCTGCTACATGGTCTCGTCCCATATCACACTTTTAATGACACGTTTCTGTTAAAGATCCAGCAAATAGGCAGCGCTAATGTGCCAACTGTATGTACAACAATGCTCTCATATAACAGTATTAAGCTAGTAAACGTATTAAATTTTGAACTAAAATATTGCTACCATGCTAATGTTAGCCTGCTAAAATGCCATTAAATGCTATGTAGCATACATTTAATGGATGTTATGAAAGATGTTATGAAGCTCATGTGATCAAGCTAAAATTTTAAATGCTCAATATCAACATATCTTATATTCTAAAGCTATTCATATGCTAACTTTAGCTGTTACATGCTAATTGTCAGAAAATGTTAAATGTAACAGCTGTTAACATGTGGTAAACACGGTGACGTTAGCATGCTACAGTACGGCTCTATGGCTGGTTAGTTCGGTGTGCAGAAATTGTATATTGTAAATGCCATCAAATGTTAAATTTACCTGATGGTAAATGTGAACATATTGCAGGCTGAATGCTTAATATCAGTTTATGTCAAAATATGCTACCATGAGCATGTTAAATGGTGACATATGTTCTGATTTTATAGCTTCTAACATGCTATCTGTAGTGCTCTAAAATGTCACATGCTGACTGCTAGTATTTGTCAAATTTAACAGATGTTAACCTGAAAGTTAGCATTATATTATAATAAATAATAAATGGAACATGTCAGCTTATGGTAAATTTAATAAATGTTATCAAACATGTTATTCAGTAATATTAGCATGCTAATATAATAAAAGCAAAATAGCAACATATGGTAAAGTCTACAACTGTTTACATGCTAATGTGAACTGTTACTGGCCGTGTGTTAAATTAAATAGATGTTTACTTGGATGACATTAGCGTGGTAAAATGTAAAATGCTAAATGTCAGTGCGTGTTAAATTGTACAGCTGTAAACACGCTAACTTTTGTTTGCTAAAATACAAAGCATTAAAGGCTTAATTCCACCGCATGTTAAACTTAACAGATGTTAACATACTCATAAGCATGCCAAATGTTAAATGCTAAATGTTTGCCAACATATCTATCTATCTATCTCGCTTTATAATGCACAGTTAATAACAAAATTAAGTATATTTTGGTAAGAAACCCAAGAAATCTTTGTTCAGAATATAATATTTTGTAATTAATATTGTGTTAATGCCCTTAAAAATCAGAAAATGTTGTTTTGAGGGTTGTTTGCATGATTAAATATACTATTTCTTTTGCCAGACAGTAGCTCTTTTTTCTGTTTTGTTCGTTTGCTAAGCTGAGACAGCCAACTCATACTACAAAATGTACAGTTGTGAGAACAGTGACTGTCAATGTGGAAAATAACTAAAGATATTTCATGTTAAACCAATGTGAATTCACGGCCTTTCAGTCATCAACTTTAAGTCCCACATATGAACAATATAGTTGTTTAGCTCACGTGTCTTGCTTGAATACTCACAATAACACACACAAACAGAGCTATTAGGTTTCCCATTTGAGAATCAGATGCTTCTGTTGCACTCCAGTTGGAAATCCTTAAATCATTGTCTTCATGTAAACATAGCCAGTGGCCTGAGGATGAAACTGCATTTGTATTTAATTCTTGACAATATAAGAAGTCCGCCTGCGTAACTTCTCAGGAATATTCATGTCGTGGCCGTATTCTGTCAGAGGAACCCGTTGCGTCAGCGCTCTCGTGTTTCAGGCTCTGCAGCAGCACATCTGTGAACAGAACCTCCTGCCACCTGTTTTAACCCCTCGCCTGTTTCTGTTGGTCTTTTTTCCCTGCAGAAATGGTTCAAGCTACGTAACGCACAGTGGAGGAAGAAGGAGGGTCTTCCGGCTGAAGGGGGATCGGTGTGGGACTAAAATTTCCTGACCACCTTCTGGATGACTCCTTGCTGACCTTATTCTTCCTGGATGAACTGATCCTTATACTTCCCTCTCCACCTGTCCCCTTTTTGTATCTTACGAAGTTATTTTATCTTGCAGAATGTGAAACTGTGTGTGTGTGCTGTTGCCTGTATAATCGCCATGTTTACAGAAATAAACATATTGTTATTGTAAGTTAAAATGACTTTGAGGCTCCTGTACATCTGCATTCAGAAAATAAAAGCTGCTACCTGGAGCCAAAAATGGATCTTTGCAGAGAAGACCCATTTTTAGCTGCACAAACCCCAAAGGTGCCTCAAAAGAACCACTAAAAAGGGTGCTCCAAAGAACTCCAGCAACAAAAGGTTCTTTAAGGAACCATTTTCAAGGCAGCTCTTTCTGGACCCGTCTGGTTCTGTTACGATGATGGGACCTGACAATCGTTAAACGCATTTTTAGGAATTTGCAGCATTTCTGGGTTCCTTCTAGTAGAATACATTTAATATTTTGGGTTCTGGACTGTTGGTCTGATAGAACAAATGTTACAAGACTCCAGGTTGGAGTGAATGAAAGCATTTCTCACCAGAGTCATTCTGTGTGAACTCAGCCAAGGTGGTTGCTTCATCAACTCAGAATCTGCTGAAACTTTGTAGGAATGATCTTTTGCATCTGAAACTGACATCTGGCCTTTTTTTTTTTAAAGCTGAAATTTCAACAGTTTCACAATTTTTCAAATTTGAATAAATCTCTCTTGAGTTAGAAAGTGAACAAGATGCCACCTTCAGATGTCCATATCTCTTGAAGTCCTGGAATCTCACATTTTCAGGAGATGTTCAGAAGTTTCTGGCGAATGGAGAGAATGCTGAAAATTCTGGCAATCAAGACTTACTACAAGACCTCCCAGGATTTGTTCAAAAATCGCAAATGAAGTGTCAACTTTGATTGGCCATAACTCCCATTTCTACCAACATATGAAAGCTTTCTCAGCATTAGTAATGTCATTCAGATATGATTCTCACAATAAAACTAATCAAATAGATCCTCAATTTGGGAGGTCTTAAGCAAAAAGTATATCTTGGTTGCCAGAATTGTCTGCATTCTCTCCATTCACCAGAAACGTCTAAACATCTCCAAAAAATATTAAGAATCTGGGACATATACTTTAAAAGATCTGAAAGTGGCATCTTGTTCAATTTCCAACTCGCGAATGATTGTTGCGCATTTCTACTGCGTGAAAACTTATGAAAATGTTGTAATTTCAGCTAAAAAAAAAAAAGGCAGGTGTCAGTTTCAGATGCCAAAGATCATTCTTACATCTTCTTAAGTGGATCCAAAATAGGATGAAGACTGTCCAGAGTGACTTGAAACCTGCCTAGAATTGTCCAAAACGACCTGATGTGGTGAAGTTGGACCAGACAAGGTTCTGGTTTTAGATGTTTAGACTAAATGTTGACGTGGATCATTGGTAGGAACCAGAACCTGGAGTCCCCAGGTTCTACAGTGAAACCTTAAAGTGTCTTCGCAGGTTTTTTGAGGGTGAAACTGGTCTGAAAACGTGACAAACAAATACGACTCCAAACTGGTTTCAAGTCATAATCGTGTTTTAAGAAAAAAAAAAAAAACGTCTGCTGCAGCTTTCAGGTGTAAAACATGAAATAATGAATCAACTATAACAATAACTGAGCTCCCCTAATCTCACTGAGTTGACACAGACTATTATCTGATGTTTTATCAGCTAAATAATCAATTTATAATGAAAAAAAAAGGTAGCTGCAGCTTTAATTTCATGTTTTTACCTGCCACCAAACCAGACAACATTAGAGTGGGGTTGAAATTCACTGAGGAAGCCGAGTTATACAGCAACAGGCTGAGGTTTATAAAGTCTGGTCGGAGGGGGATGCTTTTGTTTCCATTGTTCTGTTTACATGTAAGTCTGTCAGCAGGGAGCGGAGCTGGACGCCCGGCTCCTCACATGAATATAAAAGACGTGAGGAAGCGCTGCGATTACAGTAGATGCCGCTGGAATCGGCTCTCAGGAACTTGCGGAGACGAATCTGGAACATTTCCAGCAGCAGAGGGGGAGGACACGGCCAAACTGAATGGCATTAGGGGCTACACAAACGGCAGGTGATGTCATTTCATTGTTCCTTCTTTTTCCCCATGACTGAGCGCCGTAAAAAGGGCGTGATCGCACCAGAAAGTTGGAGCTTTAGGCCTCAAACAGGCTTAAAGGATGAGGCGGCCAATATTCCACTTATTATAAAGTCAACAAATCCCATGACAAGATTAAAACCTCTGCTAAAGCCTGATAGAGTGAGAACACTTGAATTTACTTTCAGGCAACTAACAAACACTAAGCAGAGCATTGAATGTGTATTATTCCACCACTGAAGACAATACCCAATAAAAAAGCTATATAATGCTGTATTGTTGAGCGAATTGCAAACGTTTGCATCTTCAAAAGACAGATTCGACCTTTTCTTGAGCTTCGTTGACAGAAAAATATAGAATAGCTCATGATTTGTCCTTTTAATACATTTTTTTTTGTAGTTTTCTGTCCCATCCGCCTATTTTCAGGCCTGTTTTATCAAGTTTCGATACACAAACCAGCCCGATTGGAAAGATGTCGGGCATTAGGACTGACAGTTTCTGACTTCACCCTGCCCATTCCGATAAAGAGACTGTCTAATCAGCTGCTCCTGGTGAATGCAATGCACTTCTGTTACAAACAAAAATTGAGAAAAGGCCCATTTTCTACACCTGCATGAGCACAGAGAAGTAAAATAAATAAATGAGGCAGAGTTGGGGGAAACTGGTTAAGAGTCTGACATAGCTACCTTTTTATTTTGCAGCACTGGCTCATTTAGACCGACTCAAGTTTCCGACGTTTGTGCAGGAATAAAAACGTGTCCTTTAGCTCAACCAAGCTGAAAAGTGAAACAAGACGCACGAGAAGGGACACAGATTCTTATTTTATGGGACAGAAAAGACATCCTGAACCCTCACTCTGTGAAGGAGGTGTGGGAGAGAGGACGGAGGGGTGAGGAGAGGGGGAGAGGATGAGGTTTCCTGCCAACGAGCCTGGAGTGAAAACGCTCTGATCGTGGGAACAGTGTGCACAACGAGCTCGACAGAAACCAACACCGACCCAACAGGTAGTTCAACCGCTCATAAAACTGCAGCTTTTCAACAGGTGTTCCCATCCCGTATTCACTTCTACTCATATTTTCAGCGTTTTGCTCAGAACCGGACTTCAGTATCGCCTCTCAGAGCTGCTCACAAGCCCCTCACTTTGGGGGATAGGGGTAGAAATACAGAACACACACACAGCGGTGGTGTCTGTTTCCTGAGCCTGGGGGTGTTTTCCTCTGTTCAGCTGAGTGTGAAAAAAAAAAAAGTCACACCCACTAAAGAAAAACATTTTTATAGTCCCTGCTGAAAACAGCCATTATATCTGAGACCCTGCCCCTCTCCTGCTCGCCCATAAATCACCGTTCACTCTGACAGATTCGATTGCTTCACTTCGTAAACTGGTTTCAGTCATTATTTGGCACATCTGTCTTTTTTTGAATGTCTACAATAGTACAAAAAAAGATGGTGGTACAGCAAAAAAGGGACAAATAATATTGTAAAACTCAAATTTCCAAATCCTTTCAAGAGGTAAAAACGTTGTGCTATTCCTGCATAATTCTTTATTGTGATGTATGCAGGTTATGTTGTGTTTTAGGAATCAGATTCTGTTAATACCCCAGAAATATAAACATATAATATTAATAACAATACATATCTTCAGAAAATACTATGACAACAAAATGCAGTGTAGCGTCTAACCACAAGTGCAAAAGAAGCAGTAAAAGTGCAGCACAATTTAAAGTGTGTAAGTGGAATAGCTTTAAGGACACTATTGTAGCGCTAAGACACAAACAGTATGAGCCAAATTAACAGTACATGTAAGTATGCAAGATATATGAGTATCCATGATGCATAAGGAGCATATTTGCAGCATGTGTATATAGAGTATAATCTAATAGTAACAGAATTAACAGAATGGTACTAACATTCTAACGTATATGAATAAAATTAACTGACTGATTTAAATGTTAGGCTTAAGACCCTACAATATCATATGCTATACAAACTTAGCTGACTAATATAAGAATTCATCTAGTAATGTTCAAGCCATATCACTTAAGTATGTTGTACTCTTTCATTCACTTGTTGGTATAAAATGCAGGAAGGTTCACTTTTTATGTATTTTTTTGCTACAGAGAGCTTTAAAGATGTGTGTGTGCATTGGACTGTTATGATGAAAACTGTATGCAGCACATAGCGATGCAACACGTATGTAGCCCTACAGACGACAGAAAAAGAATAAAGCTTGTTGCAGACAGAGGAACTATTTGCTGCTGCTGTGGTGTTGGCATCTTCCCACCAAAGTGTGGAAAACTGCAGTTCCTCAAATGTCCACATGAGGTTGACTTCAAAAGCCAGTCAGTCCTCATAGACCCTGTGTTAATGATTCCAACTCGACAGCAGAAATAAACTTGTTTACATCCTGGTACAAAAAACAAATGTGGTCTCTAGAGCTAACTTTTACATTCATGACAACCATACAGGGGGTGAATTTCTACATAACTCACCAGTTTAAATAGTATTAAGGCTTAAAGTTAGGAATAATTAAGGGTGTCGTTGCTTTGAGTGACAGGTGGGTGCCGTCCCAGGACAATCTATGGCTCAGAGAGGTTTCCATGGCCCACCTCAGCTCCACTCACCTCTTTACTCTGAGCTTCAAAACTGCTGGTCAGAAATGCTATGAGCACCTCACTTTGGTTTGTCCATCTTTATATTCAGTTTGTGGCCAATGCCCTTCAGAATACAGCTGCAAAACGTGGGTTGTTAACACACGAATCCCCCTTTATTTGAGGCTTGTCTCTCCTAAAAATGTCCCTTTACTTTAGCTGGAAACATTAAAGTGACTTAGTCTTAGAATATTAAAGAAATAGCAAGAATAGCTGGAGTAGCTTGAATATTCAAGGTAGTTAATAGGCCTTTGCATTTAAAAACACAACACAGGTTTTAAAATAAAACTTATATTATTCAGTAGCATTGAAAGGTGTGAACCTTGACAAGCAATTTTCTTACAAAGTCCTAAAATTTTATCTACATTTTCTAATCACAGCATTAATATTTTCCTGTACCAGCACTG